CCCCCCCGCCTGTCAGTACAGCTCCAACGTACACTAACAGAGAGGGAGACGGGCAACCCTCAGGAAACCTCCACTAGGACACAGCGGCAGGGACCAGTCACAAATTTGGCACGCGGAACACTGCAAGGCGGTAGGTAAGGACACTCACTGTGGTCCTGTGACGATTTCCCAGCACTCCAACACACTCGGACCTGGGCTAGGCAGCATCTCACTGAATTCATTTTGATGTTTCTTAGAACTTGAGGAGTGGGGCTCTATCAGTAGACTAGTCTTTCAACTCTGACTTATTTATTCTTTAACAAGAACAGGCTTTACTGAGGGGCTGCTGCGGACCCGCGGCAACTGGCTCGTGCCGGTCGCCTGTCTTGCTGTCTGGCTTCCTGACTCTGGAGATGGACCCAGGCCCTCCCAGATGCCCCCCGGCCAGGCACATCCTCAATCCTTTTTCTTTTTAAACATTCTGAGGTGGGTCTAAATTGGCCTTGAATTCGACCCTCCTGCCTCAGCCTCCGAAGCAGATAGGATTACGACACCACTGTCACTGTGTTTCCTAAAAGAAGTGCTAACAGGTTGTGCACACTAAGGGGCTCACTGCCACCAAAGTCAGCCTGATATGGCTCCCGAAAACGTCGGTAACAAGAGCCTCAGCGTCAGGTCACCAAGTCTTGAAGGGACACATTAAATACAACTAAACAAAAGTAGAAGTAAGTATAAAGCTGGCTTTATGTAATTAACATGATAAGCAAAAATTCACAAGTAGATTAATTTAGAACTTTAAATGCTATAATTAACTGATGTTAGGAATTAAGGATAAATTGAAGTTTGATAGTTTGGTGGATAGACTATGGAGTTAAAACGCGTCAATTTTTGTATTTTGAGATAGCATCTCACTATGTAGTTCAGGCTGGCCTTGAACCCACTAGGTAGCCCAGGCTGGCCTCAAACTTGAGGGGACCCTCCTGCCTCAGCCTCCTGAGTGCTGGCATCACAGTTGTGCACCACCATACCTGGCTTCAAACTGAATTCTTCAACAGTAAAAACCCACCAAAAAAGTCTTTGACTTTGGAAGTCTTAACTGTGCCTGTGAGGGAAATGGATGACCCTGCACAGCAGCAGATGAATTCAAAGCACGACACGCTCTCTCCTGATCTCGGCCAGGACACACCATGTGAAAACGCTCCTCACCGAAGCTGCTCTCCCGTGAAGGAAAGGTAGAAACAAGGGCAGTGAGGGCACACGAGCATTGCTGTCCCCTCCCGCGCATGGCTTTCGTGACACCCTAAGCCCACAGAAGGACGGCCTCCCAGCGCCTGACTGCCATCTTCCGTCACACAGAATTTCCAGTGGGACCAGCGTCAGCAGGAGTACACGGCTCATGGAGAGCAGCTCGGGCACGAGAGTGGCAAAGACCCCAGACCTGAGAGGTGTGGCCGCCTCCGAGCCCTCACACACAGCGCTTATTCCCACACGGAACCATGGCGAGAGCCGTGGGCTGTTACCTTGGCTTCTTAGTGCATCCATGACAGTCTGTGTGACGTTTCTAAGGCAGGAAAACGGTAAACGCTCACTCGCCAGGATGCTTTCCAACGCCTAGGAGAGAGACATTGAGCGAGTCTGGTAGCCACTGGGCAGTGCTGTCTTCATGCTGTGCCTTTATGCCTGCACGTTCGCTGCCGCACGTTACGGGGCAGCTCCCTGGAAGGGGGCTCGCACACAGGCCTGGGGTTCAGGCTGCATCTGGTGCCCGCTCCACTTCACTGGGTTGGACACGGAGCTCGGGAGGCTCCTGGCGAACACAGCAGCGGAGGCAGGGCAGTGCCAGGAGCCAGGAGCCAGAGCCTGAGCCTGCTGTTCCTTGAGGCGGCCGCGCAGGCCACAGCGGTGACACGGGCTGTCCATGCGGGCACGGCAGGTAGGCGCTCTGCTCTCTGGGCGGACGCGGCCGCTCTCTCCCACCTCTCGGCCCTGGGCCCCATCCTTAAGAGTGCTCATTCAGCAGTTCCAGAATCTGCCCTCAGGGGCTGGGGATTTAGCTCAGGGGTGCTGCCACCTGCCTCGCAAGCACAAGGTCGGAGTTCAATCCCCAGTGCCAAAAACAAAACAAAACACCAAGAAACAGATAATCACAACAACAAAAAACCCAAAAACCTCTTCTCAGGCCCACACGGTGGCCACCGGAAATAGGACTTAAGATTTCTACTTATCCTTGCATTAAACTGGTCTGCACCGATGAGAATGAACATTCAGGCATTTAGACAAAGACTGTGGCATGAGACAAACAGCAGATCACGACACAATGACGACGCGTGTCAGCGGCGGAGAAATGGGCTTAGCGGGGCTCGCGGGGTTCCCGGGTTCCCAGGCCCGTGACAGGCTCTGAGGGAAACAGTGACAGGAGGGATGGAGCCTGGCTGCCTCCAGAGGAGCCGCCTTCCCTGCCCGGGGGTGCGGGGCCTCTCCCAAGCCCAGCCCGGGTTCTTCCCTTCCTCAGCTGGCGCAGCACAATGATCAGTTTGCTACTAAGTTTTCCGGCGTATTAAATAAAATTCAGCGTCATATATGATTCAGTACCGAAACAAACCCACAAAGGCAATTCTCCCTCGACTATGATTTCCCAGCTTGCTGTTCCACGATGTAAGGTAAGAATGGGACTGCGGGAGGGACGCGCATATCTACTCTGGGTCCCCGCACTGCCTCACCGGGTGCCTACCGCGTCCCCAGTGTCCGCTATCCCGAGGAGGAGGAAGCCAACAGCGATCGGTGGAGGGGACCGGCACCGCCTTCCCGAGCGCAGGCAGGCGGATGGCCGTGCGTGTCTCCCGCACAGAGCTCCTGACACCCCAGGGTGCCCGAGCCGGGCCTGGAGGACGGCGGCAAGGAGAGATCTGCGCTGTGACACGTGGCGGCGCCTCCCGGGTCCGGACGGCCATCATTTCCGGGGAGTCAGGGGAGAGCTCCGGACAGCCCTGGCAGGGCGGCGGGTCACCAGGGGAACCCACAGGGCGAACACAGAGCCAGAGCTTCCAGTGCCGCCCCGGCCCGAGGTCGTCGTCAGAGCCGTCAGGGCAGAGTCCCTGCCTGGACCCCAGACGGCAGCACCTGGGTAAACAGAAGGGTCTCCCCAGAATCTGAGACGCTCTAGCAAACGAATGGGGTAGGAGCACAGGGGAGCCCACCTCTGCCTGGCTTCTGAGTGGCGGGCAGTGCCGGGGGCTGAGCCCAGCTGTGGGCGACGAAGGGGCTGAGCGTGAGGAGGACGCTCTTCTGCAGAGCCCTCTGTGAGGGGAGGACAAGCTGCTCTGACATATTTTTTGGTTTTTTTAGACAGGGTCTCACTATGTAGTTGAGACTGACCTGAAACTCACTATGTAGCCCAGGCTGGTCTCCAACTCACAGTGATCCTCCTGCCTCAGCCTCCCGAGTGCTGGGATTACAGGTATGTGCCACCACACCCAGCTATGACATGCTATTTTCTTACACCCTTACAGTATTATTTATATTAGTTTTTACTTCATTAAGTGAAAAAATTTTCTTTCTGGTACCAGGGATCCAACTCAGGACCTTGCATTTGCCAGGAAAAGAAATTATTTATATTTTTGAACTAAAAAAATATTTTATATACAAAGTCAGCTGATTTGTGCAGTATGCGGAATTCCCTAACATGGTTCTGCAGGCCACAGCAGCACCTGGCAGATTCACCGATGAACTTGCCAGGGGAAGGGAAGGCGGTGCGGCGCACACCCAGCTCTCCCAGCTCTCCTCCGGGACGTGACTCGGATGTTCTCACCCCGCGGCACGAGGGATGGGTGCTCTCAGCCACCAAGTCTTCCAGATGGCCTGTGGTGAACTGGGGAGCCCCGCTTTTTGGAGACATGGATCTTCTGGCGGGCGGGGAGCCTGACTTGACCCTGCGTAGGCCTCAATCACACGTCCCTTGTTCCGCAGCGTGGCGCAGAGGGACCTGATGACCTGTCCAGGGTGAGCCGTCTGGAGCCTGGATGGGGCCGCAGAGTCACAACCAACGTCTGCTTGGAAACGGTGTCTCCCGTTCCTCGGCAGCCTGCACCCGAACCACCGCGGAAGCAGCTGTCGCAGCACCAGGAAACTAGCGACGTTCTCTACATCGCTCGCGCTTCTCACTGACCCTAAACCAGCTCCTACAAGGTGAGTGTTTCTTGAGTAACTCATGCCTGCGCCATTTCTGCAATGCGTTGGTAGGTGGTGAGAATTAACTCTAAATCCTGTCAGGGAAATCTTATGCGTGCCCATCACCGGTGCATACAGAATATATTTACAGCTGCGGTACCAAGATCAGCTGCATTACAATTTTTCATACCGTCTTAATGTTTTCCTTGAGAAACTGTAGTAAGATGACATCTGATCTGCTAAGTCAATGCATTTCTTTTCCCTTTTGTAATCAAAGATCAGGTTTTGTTTCCAGGTTTTCCTTTGATCAACATACACTCAGGATTTTTCCAAGCCACTGTTTCATCAGTCCATTTAACTAACCTTACACCAGAACTATTTTCAAAGTTTATGGTTTTGCTGCATTTTTGCTTTGTCTTTGTTTATACTGGCAAAACTTTGGATTTGGCTGTACTCTGCCGCACAGACAGGTTTGTGTGAAAGCTCTTGTGGTGGGTGTGCTGGATAGTCACTGTCTGCTTACACAGTGTGGTTGTGACACCACAAACCATTTGTCAGTCTCAAACAGCATCGTAAAAATGCCCAATGCACCTGAGGGTCTGCGCTTTTTGCAGCACAGATGGAAATCGTAAGTGTAACTAACCATCAGGCAAACAGTTATGCAATTTTATCCTGTGTGTGCCTTCCTTTGATGTACTGGTGAAAACGCAGGGATTCCTGCTGTAACAATCATGCTGTCTTCCTTCTTGGTTTTACTGAATTCTTGAACGTGCTAATAATTTCTTCCACGGTTTTTCTACATTTATTCAAGGGATCCTCAGTTCTGCACGTGGTTGTCAGAAAAATGTAAATGGCTCATAACTGCCAGAAAATGGCCATGCTGCAATGGCATTTGTATGTATTGCTTTCCGACCAACACAATCTAGTATCTGCTAAAGGCACTGGCCCCGTAAGTAATACATCCATGCTGGGGATGTAGCTCAGTGGTGCCACTGCCTGCCTGGCAAGCTCAAGCACCCAAGTTAGAACCCTGGTACAAAAAAAGAAAAGAAAAGAAAAGAAAAAATCCCCATAAAAATTTTCATCTCATTAATTCTAAGACTCCCAGCACTGCTGAGGGTCTTTCTTCTTTATGAACTAAAGCAGCACAAACAGTGCATCCGTTTCAATTATAATTTTGAGCATACTGTCAGACACAAGTAATTCACACTCCGTGAAAGGATCACGCCATTAATATTTCCTATGAGGAGTTGCGTGTTTCGCGTGGAAATGGGGTGCTCATGTTGAATCTTGTCTGTGACTGTTCCCTCCGCACTGTCCTGAGTGTTTGAGAGTGTTTCCCTCACTCTGCGGTGTCGCCCCGGTGAGTGACAGACCAGCTGCGCCTCTTCCTTGGCCGAGAGGAGCTGCAATCCACCCACCAGCCATCCGTTTCTGTCACCCTCAGTGACGAGGCCGCCGGCCCTTCTCTGTGGTGCTGACACTTTCAGCAGACCTGACACATTAGTAACTTATTTCAGCTTTGGCAGGGGTCAGCGGGACCTCCTGCAGGTGAAGCCACCTTTTCTTCCAGCAGCTGAGATGCAGAATTTGTTTTTTTCTTTTTTCGGGGGGTGAGGGGTACCAGGGATTGAACTCGGGATCTTGGGCTTTCGAGGCAGGCAGCAGAACCACTGAGCTAATCCCTGGCTCCAGAATTGGTTTTTCTTGAATGTTGGAAGCTGCTGCTACAACTGCTTCCACCACGGTCTGCAAGTGCTGTCAGTTCTGAGGAAGGCTGCCAGGCTGTTCGCTTGCTGGATGCCATCGTCATGTTTTAAGGTCAGAAGACAGAAGACTTTGGAGGATTCTCATTTCTTTTCATGGTACGTCTGTCAACAGAAACATTCACCAAGGACAGCACTGACCCCTGGCCGTGCTGGAGGAGCCCGGCCCCAGGAGGCCAGGCCAGGGCAGAGAGGGGCTCGGCTCCTGTCAGAGGACTCTGCAGAGTCGCTTCTCCTGTGTGCTTCCTGTGCTTTCACTACTCTCAAGGCCTCCGCCTTCTCAGACAACCCCACCTCTGCATCATCCCTTTATTTTATTTCTGAATGTTTTAGTCATTGAGATGTTTTTCTTGGAAGCATTTGCTTTACCAGGCTTTGTGGTCTAAGTAATAAATTAGGGAGCTTTCAGAACAATCGACTGCCTCCGCAGGAAGCGCGAGAGCTGCGTTCAGGGGAACCCAAGCCCCACGGCGCCATCTTAGAGCTCTGAGTTGTGAATGAGAAGATGTGGTGGCCCCCGTAGCACACACGCCACCTGGCTCTGCCCTAGCCCCACACAGGGGGTCAGAGCTGTCCAGGGCCGAGCGCCACCTGAGAAGTGCCAAGGCCAGGCAGAAGCAGCTCTGGCAGGGGCCTGGAGGGGAGTGGGACTGACCGCAGAGGGGGACAGGAGGCTGTGGCACTCAGGGCTCTCACACAGCGCACGGGGACATTCAGAAAACAGTTTCTCCCCAACCAGCACAGCACTGTGGGAGGCTGAGGCAGGAGGACCGCACATTCAAGCACAGCCCAGTCAATTTAAGGACTTGGCCAGACCCTGTCTTAACTTTACAAAAAAGGCCAGGGTGTAGCTCAGTGCAAAGGTCCGAGTTCCACCTGCAGTAACGGTAAAGGAAGCGGAAGCAGCAGCCATTCCTTATCTAGCAAGTGAGTGCACATCTACTCCTCAGAGCTCTCTCACCCATGAGCACGGAAGCGCAGGGTTGGTGTTGGGCAGAGCAGAGCTGGAAACCGCCGCGGCTCACTGAGGGAGGGAAGACACAGCGGGAGCCACAGGCAGGGTCTGCTGTCCAGGCTGCACACAATCTCCGTCCCACCCGGCCCCGTGCTGAGGAGGGGTGGGTCCCGCCAGACCCACAGTTCCCAGAGCAGCAAACGCCCCTCTCTTGCTGCGAGTGCCAAGGCGAAACCGGGGTGCAGAATTCTGACCGCGGCCGGCCCGGGACACGGGAGGGAGGGGAGCCCGCACTGTCCTGAGCTACACAGATCATCTGGGCCAGTGAGTGTGCACGACGCACGCTCTCCCGTGTGGGGGAACGGCGTCTGGAGGGGACGACAGAAACTTCGTGTGGAACAGAAAAAGGGGCAGAGAGCACGAAGGGAGGCAGGAGGAGGAGGCTCGGGCTGGGGCGTGCAGGGAAGAGGCAGGAGGGTCTTGTTCAGAGCGACGGCCAGCAGCCCGAGCAGGAAAGCTCCCGAATTACATCCACTTACTTGGGTCTTGGTTGCAGGGTACTTAATATCTAGAATTATCTCCTTTATTTCTGTCTCAATCGAATCTACAAGAAAATCAAAGTAAATTTTCACTTTTTATGACAAGAAACCAAGGTAGAATGTTCACTTTTCAGGCTACTGACAGAAGAACGGGGGCCGCGGCCTCCAGCAGCCTGCAGCTCGGCACGCCTGCCCCCACAGCACCCCGCACAGGCACGGGGGGACGCTGCCCGGGACCCTCCCTGTCCCGACACCTACCCGGGCCAGGCCTCGCTCGAAGCAGTGCCGCCAGCTTCATCATGAGGTGCATGTCCTTGGCGCGCTCGCTCTTCTTGTCACTGCAACAACAGCACGTGATGCTGCTCCCCGCCCCCACCGCCTCCATGGAACCCCGAAGCCCACGCCTTACCTCAGCGCCAAGTGGAAGGGCACGTTCACCGTCTTCACGCTCCCTGACATGGGGTCCACGAGGCAGATCTGGTACGTCTGTGGCTGCCAGCTTTGGCTGGTGACACTGTTTAAGCCCATTATTTTATAGCCAGGGTACAGCAGCCTAAGGAAAGCACACACACACACACAGAACAGTGAAGATGTTAAAAAAGGAAGAGGCCAGAGTCGCTGTTCCCCGCTAGGGAAGCGCACTTCCTCCTCCAGGCGAGGCTGGGCCCAATCGCGGGAGAGCAGGACGGACTGGCAGGGCTCCTCCTCGGACAAGTGCTACAGGCCGGACGGACACAAGCTCGGGACTCTGGCCCTGGGAGGGACCTTTCCTTCTGTGCGTAAGGAAGGGATGGGTGGCTGCACTGAGTGAGCGCGGCCTCTCTGTGTCCTTCCTGTCTTTCCGTTGTACACCAGGCGCCCAGGACAAACTGCAGGCACAGTTACCGCGCTCAGCACCCCCGCACACCTGGCCACGCTCACCTGCAGTGCTTCCCCACATTGAAGGCCCCGACGCGAGGCCCCTGCCGCATGGCCCACACTTCCAGAATCCCCCTCCTAGGTGCGTAGATCACGAGGAACTGGGCCACCCGGCTGGGCCCCTGGCTGCTCCTGAAGGGGGAGGAGTCCTCCCTGCCCGGCGCTCGCTCCTGCAGGTCCTCCACCACCTGCACCCAGCCAGCCTGTGCATCTCGGTACCCTTGGGGGACAGCAGAAGGGAGCTGGTTAGGCACCGACCTGTCCGAAAAGCTACGACAGCACACAGAAGGGACGACAGGATCCCAGCCCGCACCGCAGCCCTGGTGGCCTCTCCACCCTGTGCCCTGCTCCCGCTCCTTCCTTCTCTCTGGGATTCCCGCCTACAACACTCTGGAAGATGACCAGTTTTGTCTTTAAAATAAAGGCCTAATGAAGACAGAAGCAAAAGATCAGATCAATTTCCTGCCACTGGCGCCCGCTGGTGGCTGCAGACAGAGGCAAAACTGCCGCAGTGACCGAGGAAGTTGTGTGTGTGACAGGCAAGAAGTAGCCACACTGTCCTCCGTCCTCACAGGGCCTCAGGCCTCCACACGAGGGACAGGACACAGATGGCAGCATCCACCAAGACAGGCCAGGCCAGTGCGCGGTCGCCATGGTGGGTGCGGCAGTGGGCACAGCTGAGTCTTCTTGGCCACTTGGACACATCTTGCTCAGAATAGCTGTGACGCTGTGAGAAGACGGCCACCAAGGAGATGTGACACGCCTCTCTGAAACTTATTTCCTTGGACACAGAGTGCGTGGAGGGGGAGACTCTGCCGTCCCTGCAGCTCATGGCAGTGGTGGTGGCCCCCATCTGGTGCAGTGACAACTGTCTTGAGTTCGTGACTCTTCACACTGACAGCCCACTCCACGGGCTCTCTCTGAGCTGACGGACCGAGCTGGCAGGTGTGTCCCGCGAACCCAAGGGGGGCCACACTGATGTGTCCCGACCAGAACTGGCACCGACACCATGAGCAGACCCCCAAGCCATGAAGAGACCGAGCCGCCTTTAACTGGCCATCCAGATGTGGGAGAATGTCTGCCCAAGGGGGGCTCCACTGAGCTCAGAACCTGCCTGGGAGAGCTGGGTGCACACAGGTAGGTGGAAGCGCCCAGGAGGTGAGCGAAGGAGCGGACTCAGCAGGGACAGCTAAGCCAAGTGCTCTACCTGAGCGCAGGTGAGAGAAAGCGCCAATGCCCATGGTGAAACACTGCCCCCTACTGGGACAAAAAATCAGCGCAGGGTCTTCTGGATTTTCGTAAAGTACCTTTCCACATGCGCACTGCAATTCCTCTAGCTACATCCAATAAAATAACTCTGCCAAAATCATCTGTCACTGCTGCCAGCGTGTTACATGGGGACAAACATATGCTTTCACCATGGCGTCTAGAATCTGGAAGCCCAAACCTGTTATTTAAAAGAAAAGAAAAATCACTTTCTGGTCTTAAAAAAAAAATGAGTGATACAATAATGAAATGCATAATCAGAACAGACTGTATGTTCTTACATAAAGAAAGATGAACCTTATCTGGATAATTTATTATTCACAAGTGACATCTGCAATATAAAATGGATTAAAACACAATCCTATATAGGCTTTCAACATAGATGCCCAAAGTTACATACCTTTAGAGAACATCAATTATAACTCTGTATGGGTTGGGGATTTAGCTCAGTGGCTCCACCGCCTACCTTGCAAGTGTAAGGACCCAAGTTTGATCCCCAGTACCAAAAATATATCTATATATCTCTATATAGATATAGAGATATATATAGAGAGATATAGATATAGCTGTATTTCCTTGGTAAGAGGCAAGGCAAAGAAACTCTTTACAGCCAATTAAATCTCAAAGTGCTTTGCTCCCAAATATCTTTTGTCTATTTTTTTCTTGTTCCTAATCTGTTCTTTTCTGATGGGAGGCACTACTGCTGATACCAATTTATCTGCTTAAAACAAAAACTTTCCTTTTTCTAATAGTTACTGCCAAGCTGCTAGTGGTCTACAATGAACCGTTTTTTTCACTCTGAGACAGCCTATGTGGTCCAGGCTGGCCTTGAACTTTCAATCCTCCTGCCTCAGCCCTCGAAGTGCTTCAACTAAAGATGTTCACTACTACACTGTAGTTATAATTAATCTTTTCAGAACTAAAGAAAGTATAGAAAAAAGGACTAGGACTCTCTAAGTTTTGCTATATAAATTTGAGCTACAAAGGGCCATTTGGCTAATTTCCTGATTGTTAAGCGAATATAAGAAATGTAAGATATTATAACATTTTAAAATAAGATAAAAATCTGAGAAGATAAACTTCAGTAAGTTTTATTAACTATTAGTAGGCTTTCTACCATTAAAGAACATCTTTAAAAAGAGGGGAGCGTATTTGTATTTTATATTAGATAATAAGAAGAGACTTAAAAACAAAACCAAGCAAAAATCCTGCCTCCCTCCATCATAAAAACCCTCATGGATGCACTGCTGAAAGCAAACCAGAAGGCACAACCTAGTGTTCTGCAGAGAGCTTAGATGTGCGCTGCCTTTTAAGTTCCAAGAGCTTAGTGAAAAACTACACTTTTTAAAAGAGAAACTTCACAGCTATCACCACCATAGTTTGCAGCACTGTGGACTAAGTTTCCAGACATCTGCAACAGAGCAGGCGCCAGTGCGTCCTGGGTGCCTGCTCCCAGGAAGGCAGCTGTGACCACTCCTCCTGGGAGTTCACACAAATGCTTCTCAGAAGCTCAGGACCTTCCTTTCTTCTTTCTGGGGGGCAAGGGGTGGTAGTGGGCACTACGGAGCCCAGGGCCTCATGCTGAGCTGCGCCCAGCCCTTCCTTTACTGTGCGGCACCAGGGGTGGGACCTGGGGCTCCACACGCTAGGCAGGCGCTCTGCCTGAGCTGCAGCTTGACCCAACCAACCCTTCAGAGAGCTGCGGTGCACAAGCTACACCTGGCCAAACCAAAGAAACATGCAGTGAGCGCAGCACAGGTCCAGTGTGATGGGAATTATTAATTCTGTCTTCTACATTCCTTTCCTCCTATGTATCTTTTCTTGGTGGTACCAGGGATGGACCCAGGGGTGCTCTTCCAATGGAGCTGCATCTCCAGGCCTCCTATTTCTTATTTGCAACAAGCTCTTGGTAAGCTGCTCAGGCTAGCCTCAAACGTGCAGCCCTCCTGCTTCAGCCTGTCGAGTAGCTGGGACCACTCAGCTGTCACGCACACCCCACCAGTCCCAAGCCGTTGGCAGCGGGCAGACTTGCCTTACAGCTAATGGGGTAGCTGGTTCCACCTTTGGCTTTTGCCTCTGGACAGCTTCTTCTTCGTGCTTGCTTTTCCAACCAAGCCAACCACTGAAGAGGAAGAACATTTAGAATATAACTACAGCTTTCAGGGGTTACAGTTGAGGATACCAAAATGTAAGTTAAAACCAAACCATATAAAGTCAGCTAGTTTTGGTTAATTACCTGGCAGCATTAAACAAAGCAGAAGTGAGTTTACTTGCAACTGCGAGTGCAACGTGAGATAACAGTGGCTGTGTGCTTCCCTGAAAAACAGGACATGAGAGAGGACTTGGCAGCTACAAAGAACAGACCTTCTTTCCAAAGAAAACACGATTCAGGGTGCCTTGAAAAGCCGTAAAGCCTGCACCAGCAACTCAGCTCCTTAGATGGCAAGGCCTTTATTCCGCCAGCAATACAATATAAAGTTTCAACTCTCTCGTTTTAAAATAAAATCATGAGTAGTCTGCATTCTATTTATCGTCAGTGTTTCTCTCTAAATTGCAATTTAATTAAAATAAATGTGAAACTGTCCCATTACAATGACATCATTCTAATGAGTTACAGGTTTGCTCTCTACACACAGATGCCCCCCCCACCTTTTTAAAAGTAAGTATATATTTTTAAAAGCAAATCTCTCTCGTTTTAAAATAAAATCATGAGTAGTCTGCATTCTATTTATCGTCAGTGTTTCTCTCTAAATTGCAATTTAATTAAAATAAATGTGAAACTGTCCCATTACAATGACATCATTCTAATGAGTTACAGGTTTGCTCTCTACACACAGATGCCCCCCCCACCTTTTTAAAAGTAAGTATATATTTTTATAAAAGCAAAAACACAGTTTGGACAATTCTGAGAAAGCTGATTTCTAAGTGAGAAATAAGAGCTGCCAAAAGCAACACAACACTGACTTTTCCCTCTTAGAAGCCGTTCTCACCACCGACAGACACCAGCTGCCAGAACTGCCTGCTGCATCCTGGTGGCCTGACACAATCAGCTCTGACTGTCGCACTGGCGTCTGCCGCTGGAGAGCAGGCAGGGCTCCAGACACACATCTGTCCAACCCTGACCCCAAAACCTTCTGACTACAAAGGGATTTTTCTTTGTTGTTGCTGACTGAACTTGGGTCCTTGGGCTTGCGAGGCAGGTGCTAAAACCATTGGGCTAAATCCCTGGCCCTGATTACTAAGAAATTTAAGAGACCCTAAATATGACTAATGTTAGCTTCATCTGAAATGCAGAAATGGAAAGCGCTTCATCTTTCCAAGTGTTTGTCCCCAAGTCTATATGCCACGTCCACGTCTGGTCGGTGGCCCATGCATGGCAAGTGACAGCCTCCTACCTCCAGGGCGTAGAAGAAGCCAGTGAACGGGTTGGCGCCCACAGTGAGGTACTGCGACATGGCAGGCGGGCTGTTTTTGATCGCTGCATTGAAGCCGCCTATGTTGGAGGCAGTCTTCATCTGATCGAAAGGGGACAGGGTCATGATACCTGTGGTGCACACACAGCAACGACACTCGATCAGAGCACGCCGAGAGGACGCTCTCCTATGCCATACTTTTACTTCAGCATGCTAACTGCTTAGCGTAAGACAGTCATTTTTTTAAACTACAAAATCAATGTTCAAATGTTCATAATATTAAAGTTGTCATCTGTAATTTCTCTGCCCTATAAAATATTAGAAGACAAAGCTGAAAAATTTTTCTGAACAGATACGAAATCAGAAGGCACAAGAAATGTATGAAGCACCTGTACCCTCGGCCACCCAGTCACTTCCTGGAGGCGGCAGCAAGTGTCTGTGCAGGAGGCGTCGCAGGCCACATGACAGCACAGCAGGCACAGGTGCGGCCCTTGCTCCTCTGACTTAACGAGCCCAAGTGTTCAGGCCCTGTCACTGGTTCCTTTCCTGGACACCCAGAGCCAGTGGGATCCACTCGCAGACCGCCGGGGTCTCGCCCTTCGGCGTGCACACACATGGCGTGTACACACACATGCGTGCACCTCCTTAATATGTTCCTGCACAGCTATTTAAGTCTACTGCATGATAAATTCTTTTAAACAGAGGAGTGGGGTCAAAGGGTTATGTATTTTATATTCTCGTTCCGTACTATCCAGCTGCACTCCGGAGGTGGCGGTCATCTGCGCTGGCCGCCCAGCCCGCCTCACAGGGAAGGTCACTCTGCATTTCCCCGGGGCTCTGGAGCAGAGCCACAGCATGCACACCGCCCTACGCTTGCCCTCTCCATTCGCCTGGTGACAGGGAGGGGACACGAGCTCAGAGGCGGGGAAGGAAGGCCACTGCCCGACTGCAGCGCACATGGACGGGTGACAGCGGGGGATGCAGACAGAGCCCCGGAGGGCTCACCTCACACAGCCGCTGCTCCACACGCTTCCACCTGGAGACACCGCCTCTGCGCTGCCCCAAACACCAAAACACACATCCTGCTTCAAGAGGAGAACACGGGAGGAAATCCTTCCCGTAAGTTCGTAAGCAAACTATTCCTTGGGTTTAAGAACTGAACCAATCAAATAAATCCTGTAAATGCTGGACTAATCTAAGAGATCGAGATGCCTGTTCCATACTCACGAATTCGAGATTCAGTCTACACAATGCCTGCCTCTGCCAGGACATCAAAGGTTGGAATGATGGCACGGGCCCTGCCGCAGACGCTTAAAAGGGCTGCTCTGTACCTCCCCACACAACCCCGGGAAGCACGAACTGCTGTGAGACTGGGGGAACAGCTCTCACGCTAAGGAAACGGCTGCCTGCTTCTGGCCTTCCCACAACGCCAGCCACCCCTTCCCGACACAGCCAGCTTCGGCCAGGGTGCGCGGCGTGGTCTGCGGCCCTGCTTCCCAGCATACCCGACACCCAGCCTCCGTCCCAGGCGTTCTGCCGAGCCCTGCGATGAGCCTGCAGTGTGACTTTCAAACTCCTGACCCCCCGAGCCCTGCTCCCCCACCCTCCCCTGGCTCACTCCGAACCTGCTGACCGGAAGGAAAGCAGCGGTCACGCCAGGGAGACCCGCCCTCCAGCCGCCCTCCCTGCAGCACCACGGAAACGCCTTCTGCCCCGCACCCTGCCACACATGGCAGTCTGGATGACTGTGTCGTCACCAACTTTAGCACCGTTTTTTGTGGGTTTCAGGTGACAGTCTACTTATAGCCTTCTTTTGCACCTATCTTTCCAATGCACTTGCATCTCAGTTTTTTTCTTAAATTCACAGTTTTTATGGAGACTGATGTAATATCCCCACTAAGCAGTTATTCTCAGCCGGGACCATTTTCTGGAGTTGTCAGGACCTTGTCCTTTAGGGTTTCTCCTAACACCTGAGTCTTTCCACACTCAGACACTGGAACTTCCAGGGTCAACCTCACGGATCCCTCCAGGCCTATGCCAGTGGCCAGAGGCCTCTCTGACGAGATTAGCAGTGAACCGAGGGCCCGGTGGAGACCGGGAGAAGCCGGTGAGAGGCTGGACACAGCCTCCCAGGCAGAGGTGGCAGCGAGAGGCCCTGAAGAAGACGGGACAGGGAAGAGGTGGAAGGGAAAAAGGGGAAGCAGGTTTGATGGGAAGAAATCAAGAATCCAATAGTGGCTGTTAAATTCTGGTATCCAGAAATGTCTACAAAGGAGCTGGAAAAATGACCACAAAGCTCAAGGAAGAGGAAAATGGAGACCGCAGGGCACAGTGGTGCACACTTGTAATCCTGGCTGCTGGGGAGGCTGAGGCGGGAGGATGGCAACTCTGAACTCAGTGATACCTTGTCTTTAAAAACAGGAGATGCTGTGCTTTTACTTATTTCTAGTTTTTTGGTGATTTTTGGAAGTAGGGAGTAGACACACTTGTTCTTAACCCTGACCCTACCCATCTGGCCTTCATCCTCCCCATCCCACTTCAGCTGCGCACCTGCGGTGTCGACAGAGAGCTCGGTGTCCTGGGGCCCAGCGACCCCACCCTTCTGCACCTCCACCGCCCGCCGCCGGTTCAAGTTCACATCTGCTCCTCTGACCTCCAGCGCCGCACCCCACCGGTCTGCTGCCCCTATCCGAGCGCATGCCTGACCCGTCCACCCCCACCCTTCCCCGCTGCCTCACTTCATCGCCCACTCCACCGCTCAAGCCTAGAGACTAACGAACTCATCAAGCAGAAACCCACCTCGTCTCTCCCCTCCCCTGCCCGCCGCCTCAATCCTGCACGCACCTCCCCTCTGCTCTGGCTGCGCTCAGATCCAGCGCCCACACCAGTTTCCTCCTCTGCGTGCAGTGTGGTCAGCCTGGCCCTCCGTACCCGCTCTGCCTGCCCCCATTCCCCACTCTCCAGCCGGGCCAGGGGCTGAGCTTCTGCTTCCTGGGCACCCTGAGGTCGCTTCTCTCCCACCTCCTCTCACCCGCCTGGCCCCTCGCATCTCAGTGCACCTTCCAGGCAGATGCCTTCCCTCTCCTCCCGTCCTAACTTTCTGCCTACTGTCCTCGCGCTATCTACTACAGTGGCGTTCTGACAACGCCACCGCCGCTCACTTGGGTCCCTTGTTTATTGTTTGTCTCCCTCACAGGAGTGCGGGAGTCCCGTCTGCTTTGTCTGCAGGCACGGATCCTGTCCTCGGCCATAACAGCTACTTATCTGTTGGGTGACTGCTTCAGACCTTTATGAAGTCATCTGTAGGCTGGGGATGAAAGAATAGAAGGACAACTTCTATCCACACACTTTCCCTAGCCAGCTCCAATGTTCCAAAGTTTAATTACCAGAGCAGGGAGTGTGCCCTGAACTGAACTCAACACTTTGGAATCTTGACGACAGCATTTTCATGCTGAATGTTTGCGATAAGGGGTTTATTACAGAGCACTGAGAACTTACTATAGGACTGTGCAGGGTACCACAGTGGAGTCTGTGTGCCAGACACCTTCTGCGGGCCCCTCAGTCCGCCCTGTTCTCCCCCAGCCTGTCTGCATGGCTCAGGCTAACTTTGGGCTGAACTCACATGGTGGGAAGCCCATCGGGCGACCCAAAAGAGAAAGGAGAATGAAGAAGACATCAACTTCCTGGGTTCCTCCGAGAGCTGGCTGCAGCTCCGGAGCCAAGCTGCCCTGCTCTGCAGCCCTGGCTCCAAGCTGTGGTGCTGCCCAGCGCCAGAGTCTCTCCCACCTAGCTGTGGTACCACTGTGGCATGGGAGGCCTGGGGCCCCTGAACTACTCCTTGGTGGTTCTCCTACGCCATGCCTCTACCCACAGCGCCTCTGTGAAAAAGCCTTCACTTGTTTCCTTCTTTCAGGAGGCCGCCTGTCTTGAGTTGGGAATCTGGCTGACGAGACAGGCATCTAGAAAAACGATGTGACCGGCTTCACGAGGCACAGACTGGAAGAGGGTTCAGTGCAGCTGGTACCACACCATCCCACTTGCGAGAATTTCTCTCTCACATGTCCGTGTGCACACTGCACACACACTGGAAAGTGCCTAAGGATGCTTACGAAGGCCAAGGTGGCCTCTGGAAAGTAGGGTCTAAGGAAATTTTCTCTTTGTACATTTGTGTAGCATTTGAATTTTCAACCAGCATGTGTTACACAGACAGAAGACACATATGTTTTTGTTGTTTTTTGGTACCGGGGATTGAACTTGGGTCCTTGCGCTTGAGGCAGGCTTTGTTGTTTTTTGGTACCGGGGATTGAACTTGGGTCCTTGCGCTTGTGAGGCAGGCCACCGAACCGCTGAGCTAAGTCCCCGGCCCCTAGACACATATGGTTTTAAAAAGCACTTTCTTCTTCTCCACCCTACTCTCCTTAATTGAGAAGCCCATTACTGCCCGCCAGGGTTAAGGCCCTGTCCTTGCCAGTCCGACCCCTCTCCTCCAGCCACGGCACAGTCCTGGCGCTGCTGTGCCTCTGCTCAGAGACCTCAGCGCCTCTCGGCACGGCTGGGAGAAGCTCCGAAGGGAGGCACTCAGGTGCAAGCTGGTGGAAGATGAGGCCTTAAATGTGGACGCCCCGCTGCAGCGCCCACCCCGCACCCACGCCCACCAGCCAGCACGCCTTCCACACACTCCTCCTGGCCGACTCCTTGTCACGCCTTCAACCCCATGGAAGCCAAGCTGCTCTCCCTGCTGCGCCCACCCCGCTGGGCGCCGCAGCTGTCCTCATGCACACCCTCCCACCGCCTCTCACGGCTGGCCAGCAGGGACCGCCTGTTCTCATGGCTGTGTTCCTGACGCCTGCCTCATACCAGAGCCCTCAGATACTGGCTGCAGGAGGGAATCTGCTTTTAGCTACACTCTGCAGGTTCTAGGATTGCGTTTAAAAAGACTGATTTGTATAGTCATGATATGGACAATAACCACTGGCAGAAAAACTAAGTCAAAGAGGAAGCAACTTAAATACTGCTGCTCAGGGCAAACTAAATCTATTAAAACTGCTGAAGAGCCTCGCAGGCAGCACTTACCAATGCTGGCGTGATCCACGATGGTGTCGATATCTTGCAGACCCCACTTCTTATAAGCCAAGGGCGGTGGCTCTATGTTGTCGCTGCCCGACGCTGCAGCTGTCAGACAAAAATCAGACAATTCCGATGAAATGAAGTTCCACAAAAATAAGTGAATATATAATACGTGTTATTCTAAAATTTCAACTAACAAAGAAGAAAAGTAAGGGAATAAGGCATAGCAACCTTGTTTTTCTGCCATGGCAACAGACACAGAATGCCGACATTTAAAAGGACATTTCAAGAGATTTGGGGCACCCAGGTAACTCCAGAAGACTCTTAAAAATCCTAGAAGAGCACTAAAGATGGAGGTGAATTCAGATGGAACTCGACCCCAGAGAACCAGGTTCTCCCACTTGATAAAGTCGGGAAATCCTGGGAGCGGCAACCTGGGCTTTTGCTGAGTAAAAACTAAGAAACCAGAGACACACCACCACAGCCAGACTGGGCAGAAGTGCAACAGCCTTGTTCCTCTGCCTACTGAGTAAGAGGAGAAAACCAACAGCTGACACAGGCCACGGGCTCACACCAGGCCCATTCTCAGTCAACTTCACATCCACAGAGAGCAGTGTTCTGATCATCAATTCTGATGAAAAGTTCATGCTACTAAAGGAAAAGATAATTCTCCACACACTGAAGATTTGATAGGAAGACCAAAAGAGTTTTCCTAAATTGTCAAATAAATGCCACAACCATCTGTTTCTAAGTCACCAGAATTCTTTTTGGAGCGACTTACAATGAGAGAGCATGAAGTGGCTTAGTTCCTTTCTTCCTAAGAGACAAAATGACTCACAAGTCTTCTACATCACAAATACACAGGAATTCAAAACCAGTGAAAGCAGGTGATTGACAACACCAATTGTTTTTTTATTTTTTATTTTTTTGGTTTTTCGAGACAGGGTCTCACTATGCAGTTGAGACTGCCCTGGAACTCACTATGTAGCCCATGCTGGTCTCAAACTCTCAATGCTCCTGCCTCAGCCTCCCGAGTGCTGGGATTACAGGCATGCGCCACCACACCCGGCTCTGACAACACCAATTGTAACAGCATTATCCATTTCTAGTTCAATAATGGAATTCTTACCTACAGAACATTGCCAGTCTCTTTGGGCATCACGTGTTGATGGTGACTATTTTAAATTAATGGGGACTATTTAAAATGATGACTATGACAAATTTTAAATGGTGATTTTTAAATAAATGGTGACTAATTTAAACAAATGATGTTTATAATGATGTTTATGGTAGGTTAAACGTAATCAATTAAAAAGATTATGAATACAGGTATAAAACTCAAAGATTTTCTGACCTAATAACAAGCACACACTACTAAAAAGAACATGTCCCAAACTTCAGAATTTTATCAGTTACAGCCTACTATGAACAGAAAAATTTTCCAATGCAAGAGAAACGGTGCATTTTTTCCCCTAGAAGAAATTGTTTATTTTGCATCTTACAGTTAATCTGGATTTAGAAATTTTTGTGAAGTAGCACACGTATCCCAAGGAAAGCATTCACCTCCGAGATGATCTCAACCCCTGAGGGTAGTAGCCAAGGGCCACCAGGCTCCCCACCTAAGCTGGAAGGACGGAGGAAGCTCCGCTTCTGCTGCTGCCTCTGCAGCTTGTCTTCCCTTCCTCGTCTTCAATATCTCCAAAACTGAGACCTTAAAAGTCATTAGTGGTGTGTATTTCACTAGCATTACCATGTTTTTCCTCTTGGTGTCAGAATAACTGCACCTTATAGCCAAAGGCGTCCTGAATCCATGGACTCCATTATCCTCTTCCAAGAATGCAACAGGGTCTGAATGGAAACTATGGGGTGGGCCGGGGATGCAGCTCAGTGGTGCCGCTGCCTGCTCACAAGCTCAAGGTCCAGAGTTCAATCCCCCGTACCAAACCAAACCAAACAAAACTAGGAGCAGAAAGCAAGGATTCTTCATTAGCAGTGCAGTGCCCAGGAGCCTCCTTAAGCTCAGGCCCCATCGACCTTCCCGCTGGGCTCGCACCCTGCACAGGACACCTCAGTGCTAGGTGAGGAGGCGGCAGCGCAGTCACAGCCCGGGAGCCGTGGTCGGTGAGACGTGGTCAGGCACAGCCGCGTTCCTCTGTGCAGGTGCGAGTCCTGCTCCCGGCAAGAGCCGGTGAGGACGCCCGAGACGACCCCCACGGCCCTCAGTGCCCATCAGGGCAGGTTCCTGTCCACAGCAGCAATCAAGCACCAAAGGCCCTGTTCATTTAGAAGACTTGACTAGTTCCGCGGCCAGGCCTCTTCAGTAAAATAACATCATAACAAGTTAGTATTTCTTGCCAGTAAAAGTACCTTTTGCTACCTGGTTTCTACAGGCACGAAGAGACTGAAAAAGGCTAAATCCGTCAATGGTCACAATGGCAGCTGGATATAAGATGCTCAGTTCTTCACTCTATTAAAGAAGAAAGGGAAAAATAATAAGTTTTGCTCAAGTAGATTTGGAAAATAAGTATAGCTTTTTTTAAATACCTAATATCAGGAATAATGTAAAGTAATGTAGTGTGACTGTCCAATACAAAAGCAGTATCAGGCAGTGGAACAATAAAAACAAATGGAAAATTAATTCCGGAATGACTCTGCCAAAGAGTTACAATTCTTCTCAAACATGAGCTCTTGTAAACGGCAGGAAAGTGGTCTCAGGACAGATTGGAAGGCCAACAAAAAATGTTTCAGTATCATAAAAATTAAAAAGAAAATGGCCAAAGAGGAAGTGGGAAGGGGAGGAGAAAGGAAATAAGGGAAAAGAAAAAGTGTGAAAAAAGGAAACAAAGTCTCTGTAAACAGGGAAGGTTGAAAGGGGTGAAGGGAGGGCAGGGGTAAGGGGAAAAAACAAGAACCAAGAGAGATCATGTAAAGGCACAAGATCCCCATGATAAATGTAACTGTATTGTTTGCTTTAAATGTACCAATAAACTTAATGGAAAAAACAAAACTAAAAATAAAATGGGCAAAAAAAGAAAGAAAGTAGTCACTGCACAGATACAAGCACTACCTAACAAGGCCGGCAGAAGTCCCAGGCACATTCTCACATATATCCATACACCTGGAATGAGCCCATACCACACACTGTGTTCTATTATGTGTTTAGGACTCAATAATGCCAATGCTATGTTTCCACTTACGTAAATAAGCAAACCATCGCTTCCCCTGGATCTACACTGTTCTTTTTTTTTTTGCGACTGGGTTGCCCTATGCTGCCCAGGCTGGCCTTGAACTCCTGGGCTCAAGCAATCCTCCTGCCTCAGCCTCCCAAGTAGCAGGGACGAGTCTCCGCCACTGTGCCAAGCTATGTAACCAATTTTACTTAACCAGCTCTTCCCAATGGACATTCACTTGGCATCCTGCTTCCGCCCATGCTCTCCACAAGCCACGTGCCACACAGCAGTCACTTCAGAAGCAAGGCGACCAAACCACTGTCCTGATGAAAGCAGCCCACAGCTTCCACTGCGTCTGGAGTAGAACCATGGGCGAGACTTCCGCTTCAGCAGGAAGGAGGGTGACACCTCTGCCCTCGGCCATGCGTAGGCCGCTGGCTCCTCCCTCCAGACGTCACCGCCACCCTCGGTCCCTGCCCAGGTCTCAGCCTGATGCCAGGCCGCTGCAAGCTTCCATCTCACACAGCCCACGTCTCTTGCGTGACGGCTTGGTCCTTGGCCTGTCCCAGGGCACCGTGTGGAGCTGGAGTCGCCTGGTGCCCTCTACCCTCAGCACCTAGACCCAGACAGGACAAGTCCCGGGTGACTCATGGCCACGTTTTAGTATCACAGATGTTGCTGCGACAGATGTCCCTTCGTCCCCACACTGCTCCTGTCCGCAGGGCGCCACTTCAGCAGTTCAGTGAGCCCCTTCAGGCTTTCCTTTTCGTACACATCACTATTCCGCAGCCACAAGTCCTATCAGTCCGTAACCCAGTAACACCACGATGCCCATTTCTCCATCACGACCACCAGTCTACGCGCCTTCAGCTCTGCCGACGTGGCAGGTGAAACACGATCGTCCCGTGCGCTCCTCACACCTCTCAGATCACAAAGGCCCAACACTTTCTCCTGCCTTCGGGGCCTATGGCATTTCTTCTCTGGAGACTCCCTGCCCCTTCCTCTATGGACTGCTAAAATAGAGACCCTGGGCCGAGGCTGACACGGCGCGTATGCAGGGAGGGTGCCTCCTCACGGGCTCGACCAGCTGAGACAGAAAGGCCCAGGAACGCACTACACAGACCCCAGGGGCCCCATGCCTGTGGTCACCATGCAAGGTGACAAGATGGGCGGGCAGGGGGCCCAAGTGCAGCCTGAGCCTCTCTGAGAAGAGGTTCCTGGGCCTGTGCCAGGCTGGGACTGTGGGAAGCAGGCCAGTCAGGCTCCCGGTGCAGACACAAAGGTCGGGACCAGGCCTGGGGGCTCACACGGCACCCAGAGCCACATGAAGGCTTTCTGGTCCACGCAAAGAACAAGCAAATATTTAAGTGTCAGGTGATGTCCCATCAGGCCTAACAGCATGACAGACACAACCAGGCCCAGAGTTTTAAAGACCCTTCAACCTCCAGTGGATGTGTGGAAAATGGAGTTTGTCAAGAGACACCTTGAACTTACAGATCTTTATCTTTGGTGTGACTGCCGTCTCCTCCTCTGCCCTCCGATGAACGTCACCAAGACGTGAGTCTCCCGCTGCAGCTCTGCTGCCCCACCTCCCCCGGCGCCTGGCCTCACAGAAGCTCTGCACCATTACCCCAACACTTGCGTCTTCACCATATTCCCCGCCACGGCTCTGAGTTCGGTGTGCTCCGAACCACGTCTAATGAGCTCTATTCATTCCCCTCTTCCAGGTCCGCCCGCGATGCTCGTGAACGGCTTCTCTGGCTCCTGCTGCCTGCTTCTTCAGCGGGGCTTCTGTCCTTGTCCTCTCTCCCCGCCCTGCCCAGAGGGTCATCCCGCAGCAAGGGTCTGTTGCCCAGCACTTCCTGCTCAGGAACCCCGGGAGCTTCTCTCCTCCCAGTCGAGCACAGTGTGGCCCCGTCCAGGGTCTCTCCGTTTCCTGGCACAGGTTTCTTTGTTGTAGCACACACACCCCTTCCTTTATCCGAATCTTCTCTCACTTTCCTCTGACATACCTGATACCCTCCCTCTTTTCCACTTAATTCCAATTAATTAAATCCCATGCCTATCATCCATGGATTAAGTGAAATCTCACCTGCTCCATGAAACTTTCTTAGTCCTAATTGAGCTGCCCCTGCTCTAACCTGTATAGAATTGGTTCTGTTCATGTGAATTAGCAAGTAGGTATTGTTTCATCCTCAGTTCACTCACAGGTACTAAGGGACATTAAACTAATCTCTCTTACTAGACACGCAGTCTTCTTCTACGGCGCCAGGCCAGGTATCATTCAGTTTCAGCCTCCCACATGTACAACACATGACCTGAAACCCTTTGGAATCCAAGAAATGCAAGAAAGGGAAGCGCACTACACAGTTTCGACTGTGAACACTGCAAAGCAAATAAAAGCAGTCAAAGCGGCCCTATGCTGTACTTATCTTTTGAATACAAGGCTGTGGTACAAGTGAAATATTTTTTTTCTGGAACCATGACTCGAACTCAGAACCTTGTTTTGAATATTTGCCAGGCAGGTATGGCGCCACTGAGCTACATCCCCAGCCCTACAACTGAAATCTTACCAGGCATCTAGGCAGAAGTGAAAGCCTTACATACTGAATATTGTTTTCTCAATCAAATTTTTCAATAAATATATTTTTTCACAATACACTAAAACAGTATTTTTCTGCGAAATAGTTAAGTACAAGGTATTGTACTAAGATCAGAACTTAAGTAAAAATTTAAAAAAGATATGTTATATAATACCATATTTTTGCTTTAAGTTGTTAAAGTCTAAAACTGAGAAACCTGTTGGCTTCTTGTATTTTACTGTAAAATGAAATGGAGTATTTCGTTGAAATGTAAGAGCCAGACGGCATCCTGCATGCAGCTACAGGAGCCAGACCAGCTGGCGAGCCTCAGACGGAAACATCAAAGCTTCCTGCAGAGTGGCAGGGCCCAGGCCAGGCGCAACCCTGCCCGCCAGCCTGTGTGCCCACAGTACCTGCTCGGTGACGCCGGGGTGCCGGGGGATCTCGTAGGTCCTGCATTTCAGCTGGAGCACCATGTCCTCGTTCAGCAGCTGTGCGAGCAGGAGCACGCCAGTCTGGGAGGAAGCACAGAGAGGCGCCGCTTTTTCCCTGCACACTGGACGGCACGCCAGGCAGAGCCACTCGTGTTCTCTCTTCAGAACCAGCTTTCTTCTCTGAATCTTCCACCAGGAGGCCCAGGCTGTTCCCGCCACCACCCCCACAGGCATCACGACTCCTTTGCAAGAGGAGGAAACTAAGTCACAGCGAGTAAACGGGGACGCATACAGGTAATGCAGCCAACTGCTGGAAACTCAACTCACCTCAGTGTAGAAGCGAACGTAACCTGAAGTAAAACCCACCACGATGCAGGTCCAGTCAGGGCGCCCCGTGGAACTCCTGTCACAAACACAGCTCCTGACCAGACTGCCCAAATGTCTGTGCAAAGGCCACAGAGAGCCCGCGCTCCCCCTTACCTTTTCTGGCTTGCTAGTGGGATGCACAGAGCACTAGTCACATATTCTCTGAGAACAAAAGCAAGTCAAAATCAAAATTTTACGCCTATCCAGTGACCTTAGCAATTACTCTTATTTCTCCACAGTGTGGGGGTAAAGCACAGTAAGTGCTCAGTTCTGTTTGATGTATAGTAACATTCCACCGTAAAGCTCATTCACATAAGGTATAATATATTCATTCCAAGTTAAGAAAAAACAGTATTTACTCTGTGCTGTCTTCAAAAAGCATGAAAGAAAGCAAGACTACTTATACTACTACACTACGTACACCACCGACTGTATCAGAATTGTAACGTCTCAAATGACCAGCCTCATCTTAGACCAGGGATGGGCAGAGGGGAGGGCAGGGACAGTCACACGACATGGAGACGCGCCTAAGCCAGGACCCTGTATGCACAGATAAGCACTCGAACCCTGGGCTCTGGCCCCCACAGGATGTGTCATGTCAAGGACTTCTGTACTTTAACTAGCACCTTTCTTCTCTAATTCGTACAACTGCCCTTTTAGCCATTTTCCTAAGTACATATTAGAGCTGACGCTACCTAAAGAAAGATGTTTCCCCCGATATACAGACTGTAGATATCGTCAGGAGCTCACACACAGCCCTGAAATCCAAACTGCTCCTACAGATTGGGCTTTGTTAACTCCGCAAATCTCAGGACACCATCAGCTTAGGAAGAAATCACCAGCACTCCCGCCCCACACGTCACAAGGTAAGCACTGAATTAAATCAGTCTTGTCCATTTTTAAAGTAACACGTTTACTGTTGTTCATTTATGACGAGACATTTTAATTTGCGTAAAATGCTTTGATAAAATGAAACATACGGCTTCTCTTGGTAAGAATGGAAAACATCTCACTATCTCCAATGTGCCGGGCACTTCCACCTGACGGATCAAGTCTGAGAGGCCTCCTGACTCTTCTCGGCAGCTTCCAATCACAGAAATGTAACTGGACGCTACTCTTGCCCCAGGGCCCATGTGGCAGCCCCGTCACCTGGCCATGCTAGAGAGCCCGGTTCTCCAAGTCTCACCAGCTCGGCAGGAGACTTAAGGCACACTCTGGACTTCTTGGAGTAAGTGAGAGCTTTGGGAATTAATGCAGCACTTGAGGGGTACAAGCCCAGAGCTAGGAAAACGACCACCCTTGGCATCTAGATTTAGCTACAGAGAACTGGGGGAGAAGACAGGCAGGATACAAAGAGGGTTTCATGAATTCTTTCTGAACTCTAATCTTCAAAATGGACTTAAAAATAAATCACATGAGTAAAATAAAAATCTGCTGGGAAAATCATTGTTTATAACTTTTAAAGTTGGGATACACATACATTTAAATAACTTCACATGATAAAGCTTCTTAATAGATTCAGTTACAAGTCAATTTCACATCTGTATTTAATTCACAGAGAAACAAAAAAAGTAACTGGTGCCTACCCTTCTTCGACACTTAAAGAACCACTCCAAGCCACAGCAAACTGCATTTCTTCTTTTCCTTTATCACTATGTTTCCATTTTGCTGAAAAATTAAGATACCATATAAAGTAACCTTATAGTACACTAAGATAGTAATTTATAAACTCTGCTCTTTCTCTTTAGAGGAGTACAAAATATAAAAGTTCTGAAAACAAAAGTTCTGTATTAACTGACTTGGGTGTTTTTATAGTTAAACACAAGATGATGCTTTAAATTTTTAAAGACATTTTATGCTATCACCTGGTCTCCTAGCCTTTAGCCTCTTGTTCTTCTGATTAAACTCGTATAAAGTCGTCATAGGTTTTACAGAATAAAGTTATTAATCTTATACATCACCCTACATATTTTATTTTTAAGATTACTTTTATCTTCAGATAGCACAGAAAATTTTTCCATCACACTTACACTACGAGGGATAAATTTACTTTGTAAGACTGTCTCCTGGCCATTTTATATATAACCTTATCTTGATCAATGAAGTTTTTCATATTCCATATATTTCCCAAATCATAAATTTAACTTTCAACAAAAATTTTACGAGCTGCAAACTCATGTCCCAATAAAAGGCCGGAGCAGTGTGAGTCTTCAGACGGGCTAGAAATCGCTCCACTCATCTAAGGGTCTGCCCCCAAGGACGGATGCAACCATTACCTGCTACACACACGTGCCAATAAAAGGGGCAACTGGAAGAAAGGAGGGCCTGGGAACTTGTCCCCGTAGGAACTGGAGAATGTCCCGTGCAGCCTCTGAAGTGCCACTGACAGCCCAAGTGTTTCAAGAGAAAAGAGGAAAGGAGAAAGGAGAAAAAGAAAGGAAAGGGGGGTAAAAGTGCTCTGCAGTCTTCCAACGCCCTGTACGATACGTACAGCAGAAATGACTTTCTTGCTCCATCCAATCACTTTTCTGCTCAGGTCTATGCATGAAAATAAAGGTCCCCCAAAATAACTTGTTACTCACGCACTAGAAACACAGCTTTCTGTTCCCGAGCTATGACCATAAGGTCGCTGGTTGGAGACAAAGATAAAACGCAATCTTGAAGCCAGGAAGTTTTCCGTGTCTTGCAAGTACTCCCTTCTTCTTCCTGTGGGTAAAAGTGCAATTACCGTAAATATGCAACACTATCAAAAGGATTTCAACTCGGCTTGCCTGCCTTGAGGGGCAGGGAGAGGGAAAAAAAGAAAAATGCAAGGTTCTCCATTCTTTTTTTGTTGTCTTGAGGGTTCTCAATTCCTTTGGAGAGTTTTATATTTCTTATCAAAATATGTCAAAGATGACCAACAAATAAAATACTATAAACACATCTCAGCTTTGAATACGAACACAAATTTAAATATGAAAAAGCACAGCATCGGAGGAGTGATACACAGGGATCAGTCCAGGAACGAGTCTGTACTAGTGACCGGCACATAACTCTCTGTACAGACAGCTGCTGCGTCTTCCTCCAGACGAAGAGAAATGCCACACCTGATGATTGTCATGATGGCTGCAGGGGTCTATAAAAGTATGTGAAGCTTCTTGCTTTCTAACTGGATATTTGCTGCGTGGGGAAGTCCCACAGTGAAAATGTGAACAGCAGACACAGGTCTTCTTTGGAAAATCCCATGCTCCTACAGTTAGCCACTAGCTGTCCCCTCTACGGATGACCGACGCGGCTCCCATTCGCGTGTGCTTCCCGAGACCCTCTCTGTATACACGCGTGCGTGCCTCACCCTCCCCTCACAGAACAGTACAACACACACACTTTAACTACTTGCTCTCTTCCCTTAACATACACCCCAGACTTTGTCCCACATTTAGTTTCCTGTTTTTAACGGTTGCACATATACTAAGCGTTACGTCCTGCAGGTGTAACTACGCCCGACTGAGGGGCGTTCGTGTTGCTTGCGATCTTTTGCTGTTGCACACTACACCCCAGTGAGTAACTCCAGGAATGTGTCAGTGCATGTGCTTGGGAGTCTGTCGGTGACACAAGTTCCCAGAAGTGAAGCTGCTGGACGAAGGGACTGCGCATTAGTGAGTCGCTGGACGTTTTCAAATGTGCCCCGCACGTACCGTATTCACACAGGAGGAGGCAAAGTGCTCACTTTCCCACTGATATTTCAAAAGATGTTTTAACTCTTTCTTCAGTTTTTGTTTTTTGTTAGAACACGTTTGCAGCTTACATTCCTTGTGGGAGTTACTTTACACCGCGCATCTTGTTCCCTTTCCACCGCCTCCCCCTCCCATGCAGCAGTTAAGCCGTGTCTCTGATTTATTTCACGTAACACTGCACTCAAGGTGCCTCCATTTTCCTACAGACAACTCAAGCTTATACTTCTTTATGGCAGAGTCGTGTTCCACTGTGAAGAAAGTCTTAACTCTTGATCTTTGTCAATCCAGTAACAACTGATCTCTCAGTTTTGTCTCTTGCTCTCTGAATTGGAGACTGGAAAAGTGATGGCTTAGTATACTTTTAACTACATCTCTCTTACAAATGAGAATAGGCACTTTCTCATTTGCTTAACAAAAATTCTCATTTGCATAAAAATTAAGCAAATTTCCTAGGAACAGGCTGCTGCTCTGTAGATTTCTCCTCCTGGCCTGCTGCTCTCTAAAAGTTATACACTCTCCTTACACACAAGGAAAACTGGCCCTTTTCATGAGAGTTGTAAATAGTTTTTCCCAATATACTATGTGGTGGCTTCTTTTTTCTAAGCAATAATTTTTTTACTGTTAAGCAACTAAATCACTGACCTGTTCCCTTGCAGGTCCTTTTTTATGTCTGAAGATTCCTACCTTGCTTGGCCCCATCTAGTATCTTTTAGACTGAATTATTCAAGTGGGAAAAGAGGACAAAATTGTAAGGCTGCCTTTTTTTTTTTTCTTCTTTTTTTTGGCACTGGGAATCCCCAGTGCCATCTTTTAGACTGAATTATTCAAGTGGGAAAAGAGGACAAAATTGTAAGGCTGCCTTTTTTTTTTTCTTCTTTTTTTTGGCACTGGGGATTGAACTCAGGATCTTGCATTTGCAAGGCAGGCAGCAGCACCATTGAGCTAAATCCTCGGCCCTGTAAGGCTGCTTTTAAATTTTATGCTCTTTAAAAATTTTTCATAAGCATGCACTACCAGCATTTACAAAATTTAAGAGACTTTAAAAACAGAAAGTCATGCTAGTCAGAAATACTCCTATAACATTTCCAGGAAAGATAAATTATTCTTCCCAGGACACCATCAGAAAAATGTGTAAAGCACAAATAAAACACAGCTGACAGGCCCCCAGTAAGCCCGAAACCTCTGGAAAACCATGCAGTCCTTCCCTTTAGACTGAACACTAGAAATAGCCTTCAGAGCCTTTGTTTCTTTAAAACCAGGTGAGCTAAGGAGGCTGCACTCTACCTCTCCCAAAAGACAGGACAGTAACTGGCAAAACCCTGTTCTATCCACATTCCACTTTTCAGGAATTCTGCCTCTAGCCTAGTGTATTTTTTAAAATGTGTATTTTATACAGAAAAGCTAGGGAGAACACTGTCCGCTGAGAGTGAAAGTCAGTTCAGGTCAGCTTTTCCCCAGCCGTCTCTGCTGAGGGACCCGACTCCTCCCAGAGGCAACACCACTGCTGTTTTCCTCTCCCCATGGAGACCCCACCTTCAGGCAGCAGCGCTTAGGGTAAATCATACAGGAATGTTATTTAGGCATCACACTTGATTAAAAAAAAAAAAAAAAAAAAAAAAAACACACACCAGCAGTGTCTAAAACCTTTAATTGGATTCTTTTATCCTGTAGCTTCTATTTCACTGCAATTAAAAAAAAAATCAAAATAATGCTCCAGAAAAGGAGTATTACACCGATTTAGGCAAACTCTACCAAAAATAATTTTAAGAACCAACAGAGCATCTACACAAATGGGATTCTGTCTTTTACCATACTTCTAAGATTATGTTCAAACAATAAACCCTGACAATGTTCTAAAGCCTATTTGTCAATAAAAACACCGTTTCCATGTTTCTGTCCCATGTTTTCACAATAATGTCACCCGCAGGGACTAGGTCTGACGTATGCGTACACAGAAGACACAAAGGCAAAGAACGTCAAAGAACAAGGCCTTAGAGCCCAGCAGTCCATGGCTGACATTCTTGCCGGTAAGAGACGGATTAGAACCCAGCGCCACTCCCTGTCACCTTCTCGAGCAACGCGGTGCCACGCTGTCATCAAGCTTGCTTTGCCACCTTCCCTACAAAACGACTCTCAGAGATTCCAGCAGCAGACAGAATTTTGCTCCACGAGCACAAAGCATGATGAAAACTTGGGAAATGGACGTCACCTGCTTGGATGTAAGTTTAGAGAAACAAGTCTGCTGTCTTTTCTTTTCGAGGCTGCAGAATCCCACCCGACGGCTGAGCGGACCATGACACTGAGGGGAGATCGGGGGCACTGACACACATGGTCTTGGCCTGGTACTACAATTTCTTAGTGAGTTACTCTGCTGCTATTAACATAAATGGTCCTCAATAGCTAACCCAGCAGTTTCCAGCTGGGGCAGCTGCTCCCTGGGGAACCTGGGCACAGCCTGGAGAAACTGAGTACCTGGTGGCAGAGGCTGAGATGTGCTCAGGATGCTACAGCGACAGTCCCAGCCCAAGGGAGTCCCTGTCCAGTGGCAGACAGCCCTAAACTACAGGCCCAGCGTCTCAGTACTCGAGGCTGAGCCCACCCTTAAGTTTCTTCTCCTGTAGCGCTTACGGCCTCTGTAAGTGGGCAGATTCTCTACTGTTACTACTGTTAGCCAGTCACGCAGGACTTACAGGCTCGTTGAAGAGACGAGCGAACAACGTTCACTTCACACGTAACTTCCATCAAGCACATGGCTACAGCACTGTGGCAGAATGGACCATGCCTGTGCCATTCCACTGCTGACTGACCGATCCACGGATGACTGGGCACCGGGAGGCATTTGTCTCGGAGGCTGGAAGTGGGGTTGAACTTCTCGCCACTCCGAATCCTGACCCACGGCAGCAGGCACAGTGCATGGCGACCCCAGTCCAGCAGCAACAAGAGTGCAGTGAGACCCGTGGAGCTGGGGTCTGCAGCAGAGCGGCTCCCACAGCTGGGACGGAGGTGACACAGAAGGAAGCAGCGCAAACGGCCCAGCGCTGGCATCCACAGTCCTCCCGCTCCTCCGGGACAGGAGCAGCTGTCCTGATGACTCAGAGGATGGAGCCAAACACACTGCACGGGGCTCAGCAGGGGACCAGTGCCCTCGGCCTCCTTGTCGGAGAACAGACCCAGGGCTGGCGGCACAGGAAGGTCGATGGGCCCGCTGGCCATCCTGAAAAGGGACCACATCTTCCCATGTGCGATCTGCAGACCAGGCACCACACAACAACATGAACTTTTCTGTCCCTTTGTTTGCCTTTAAATATTCACTGCTGCTCTCTTCATGTACTCAAGGATTTCTTCTTTCTTTTTGAGGATATGTTGAAAGAAATTTGCTAATTTCCATAGGACTTCTCCCACTTGCACCAGTATTTGGGGGGGCAGTACCGGGAATCGAACTAGAGACCTTGCACTTGCGAGGCAGGTGGTGGACCCACTGAGCTAAATCCCTGGCCCTAGTATTTTTCTGTTTTAAATTTACTTTATAATATGGTAAAATCTGCTCTGGTTGGGGAAAAATAGCTAAGACTATGGGAAACAACAAATACCTGTTTATAATTTTAGGGTGTTACCTAGTCTGGGTTGCATCATTAGACACTTTTTGTTTCACTGAATCGGATACACTGAGCACTGTGTCTCAGTACAGAGACACAGCTCAGTGCAGAGGGCAGGGGCAGCCGACATGCAAAGCAAGAATTAAGAATGTGGATTTGCCTGAAGCAGGTCCTTGTCAGATTCAGGGGAGCCTCAGTCACGGCAGAAGTAACTCCGCGAGATATCAGATGGTGCCGAAGAGGACAGGCCTTGTTCAGGCTGGGTCAGGGAACCAGTACCCACCCACCTTTGCAACCAAACAACAAGGAAGCTTGGGTGGGCACAGAGCTGCAGGGACCACAGATTTGCAGGGCTGACACAGCAGCGGCCACATCCAGTGGCTGCGAGGTGCAG